GTTGTTATAGTTTCCCTTTTCAGAGTCAAACGATATGAATTTTGACTAACATTTGAAGATATACTTTTTCATCATATTGATATGAAAAAAAGTTGCAACTTGAAGTACTTCCAGTATAGTTTTTGAATATCTAAAATTTATTTTAAAATATCGAATTAATGTAATCTAATTTAGCTTAGAAAATTAGTCAAACTGACTTTGGAAAAACACAACATAACTACTAAAAAGGAATGGAGGGAGTAGTAATCGTAGATTTGGATTCAACTTTAGATTGCAAAATTCATAAATTTTTCATTGATAATCAATCACATGCATCTAATTCAAAAGACAAAGTATCTGTTGCAGTATCAAAAGTTAATCCTATACCTTGAAGTTGATAACTTCCTATAAGTGCGACGGAGTATTTCCATTTCGTAAAAGCCAGACAGAATATTCCCCTCTGATGCACCCCGACTTGTTGTTGTTCTAGTAGCAACAAATTTTCTGGTTTTTGGTGACCGAAGTGTCAAGTGTTAGTACCACACCTGGATCCACCATATAGCAAGTGTCAAATAATCCAAGTGGAGCATCATACAAAGGAATATTTCGTACTTCCTTTCTGAATGTATCACGGAATACAATATAAACATCTGGAGAGAAACTGGTAACACTTGCTCCTGTATCCACGATGCAACCACTGGTCAGTCCATTTCCAATATTCCTCGACAATGATGGGAACAATGGAATTTCCTTATTGTTAATAAAAACTTTATAAAGGTTGACGAAATAATATGTAGGGAATCCAAAATTTGGTTCATGTTAAATCATATAAAGGTTCATGTTTTTGTTCACAACACTTATTTGGTCCACATTGCCACCAAGTTAAATCACTGCCAGTGTCTACTAACAAGTACCTTCTAATTTGCTCAGTGCCAAGAATAAAAGATGCAACATACTCACCGTTTGCAACTTGTACACTTGTTGTTGTTGTAACCTTTCCATTGTCCCTTTCAGACGTTCCATTCGCACCAAACACATTACCATTCTCGAGAATCAAAGCCAGATGGTTTGTTCTAGCTTGAGAACGAGCAAGCCTATTTTCAAGTAAAGAGTCGTAGTCCTTGAACTTTGACTTTTCAAATAAATCACGATTGTAAATGGAAAAAGTATAGGATGACCTCGGAAGATTGAGTAGTTTAGTTGTATCAAAAGACAAAAATCTTTTTCTAGCTTCCATGATATAAGTTGAGTAAGGGGTGAAAAAGATTTTTCATTGCCCAAAACTATAATCAAAATTGAAAAAATGATTGAAATCAAAAGGTGAATATGGAGAACTTCTCCATTATTTTTCTAATTGCTTGATTTGGTTTGAGATATGTCCGTCACTGCAATATATATATATATATATATATAACTAGTTTATGTCAAGATAGGAATTAATTTAAATTTCCTTGAAATTATATTCCCTATAAAGGCAAGTACTAGTTTTTCCTAGTAATTAAATGGGAAATTATGTATATTCATCAATTCTTTTTAAATCAATAGTTTGAAGAACTATTAAATGAATACAAATAGTAGATTTTCATAGGAGACCAATATTTAAGAGGCATTTTTTTTCAATCATATTGATATAAGAAAATTCACCACTTATAGTACCTTCTGTATAGTTTTTAAATATTTTTAAGTTTAAAATATTATATTAATCTATTCGAAATTTTGCTTTGAAATTAGTGTGTCGGGGTCGGTGTAACATCCGGCAATTTGAAATAACTATGAAGAAGCTGGAAATTGGAAATAGTCATTTTTGGAAAGAATTCAAAATCTGGAAATTTGGTTTAGTGTGGAAAAAATGAGTTTTTGGTCAACTTTGAGTAGTCATAACTCCTAGCTCAGGATGAGTTAGGTGAATTTCCAGTCATGATTGGAAATCCCTTGGAATGATCTTTCCAATGCCGCCGAGTTTGCTCGATTCCGAGTTTGTATGAGTGAGTTATGCCCTTTGAAAGTTGGGCTGTTGGCACAGGGCAGTTTAGTCCGAATTTGTAAGGGTATTTTGGTCTTTTCCCTAACCATTTCTTTTGGTTATATTAAGGGTATAGACTGATTTTAAATCAATTTTCCCTTTAAAAAGTGAGAGTTAGGGTTCTTGAGAGGAAAGGAGAGAAGAGGAGAAAGGAGAAGAAGGAGCTAAGTTCGTCGAGATCGTCGTGGTTTTCGTCGGGGGTGATCCCTAATAAGGTATGTGAGATCATAGTGTTGGGTTGGTTCATTCGCCCACATGCCAAACTCATTTTAATTCCAAGAAAAGATTGGTTGTGTTTGTTGAAGTTGTTGACTGTGGTTGTTGAAGTTGTTGGTTGTGTTGTTGAAGTTCCTTGTTGTCTTGGTACATGTTTCCGGTTGTGATTTCGAGTTAAATCTAGTGTATGTTGAGGGGTTTTATGATTCTAAGTGTTTGGGGCTGGAACCTTTGAAGTTAAGAAGGTTTAGAGTTGGAAAACAAAGGAGAAAAGTCGGGTTTTCGGGGAAAAAGTTTGGGGCAGCACTCCAGCCAGCGCCCCCCAAAAGGGATTCTGAGCTTCCACCCTTGCAGAGCCCCCCACCAGGACTTCTGAGCTTCCACCCTTGGGGTGGCGCGCCATGCAGAGCCCCCCACCAGGCCTTCTGAGCTTTGAAGGTTGGCGCCCCACGCCTCTCAGAGCGCCAAGGACGCCAATCTTTCCCATTTTTTCCCCACTTTTTCATGCATGTTCCTTGGTAATGTACCTATGTTTTATAGTTGTTTTCAATACTCCAAGGTACGTCTAAACGTCAAAAACTTATCCATAAACATGAGATCATTACCCTTGAATTCATAATCCAATTCGAGGAAAGTTCGGATCAAAGTCAAGTGAAGTTAGAGTCAAGTCTAGAAGTTAAGAAGCAAGTCAAAGCAAGTCTTCAAAGTTTTTCAAGAGTATTTATTGAACGTTTTAACTTCATTTTAAGGCTCAAGTTTCAAGTTGAGTAAAGAGTATAGAGTTTCAAGTTAAGCCAAGAGTATAGAGTTGAGTTCATTTCTCAAAAGTATTAGGGAACTAAGTATTCCCAAAAAAGTTTATAAATGTTTTCACATTTGAGTAAGAGAGGAGCTATGATGCCAAGTGAGCCTTTGGGCTAGATTTTGAGCAATTATCTCAAACTAAAGAAAGATGTGTTTAAAACACTTATGAGCTAAAGTATTTTGGGAGTAGTATTGAGCACCGAATTGGGGACGCGAGTTCATATTAACTCAACTCTCCATAAGAACCATGTAGCCAAACATGGGAATTAACAGGTCATTATTTTTAGATGATCACGTAAGATTAAGCTAGTGGATCCACTAAGTTAAGTAAGGTCCTATATCACGGCAAGGTATAGGATGGTCCTTGGGCAACGTGAGGTAAAACGTTGTATCATCACTAAGGCTCATAGTGGTGGTTGTCAGTTAAAGAATCTCCCATTAAAGTTATATTACTTTGATATAAGTAAAGTTGAGTTTGTTATTGCTTTGTCCTTAATGAACTAAGTTGTTTTTAATGTTTTACAAGATTTATGTATTGCATGTGTCTTATTAATTTACATTAGAGTTCAGTTATTCATGAGTCGATCAGAGCTAAGGTAAGTGTTCACTTTTACTCCTTTCAAGCTTAAGTTGTGGTTTAGCTTTCCATCTCGCATACTCGTACATTCATTGTACTGATGCCAGTTGGCCTACATCCTATGATGATGCAGACGCAGGTACCCAGGATCAGCATCCAGCACGCCGTTGATCCAGCTGAGCACTCCAGAGTCAGTGGTGAGCCTCTTTGCATTCCGGAGGACTCGGTTATTTTGTTCTCTTAGTTTTGCTTTATTAGGATGTTGCGGGGTCTGTCCCAACACCCATCTCAGTGTTATAGAGGCTTCATAGACAGCCAATCAGTCAGTTAGTATTGAGTCTCTCATCTATGTATCTATAAATATTCTATTTTGAGATTCGAGTTGCCTTTTTGGCCAGATTTTATCAGTTAGGTTGTTTTTATGACCTTTCATTGCATGGAGTTATTCTGTTGAGTTAGGTTTCCGTTGAGTTAAGAAAGCTAGGCCAAGAGTTCGCTTGGGCTAGTAATGGTCTCTGAGTGTCAGTCCTGCCCAGGGTGTAGGCTCAGGGCGTGACAGTCGGATCCCGAATCAGGTGTCGGGATGGGGTTTCAAATCAAGTGTCACAGTGAAATTTTGGGTTGAGAGTCGAGGTCGAGTTTCATTTTAGGTTTCAGGTTTGGGTCCCGAACTGATTGTCAGGGTAGGATGTCAACGTCGGATATCAAAGTCGGATCCCGTTTCGAAAGTTGGTCCCAAGTCAGGGCTCGGGGGCTCGAGGCCGTCTCGACTCGAAATAGAGTCTCAATTTTGGTGTTGGGTCTTAATTTAGGTGTTAGTATCATATCAGGGTTCTGAAGTCGAAAGTCGAGTGTTGATGTGGGGGTTGGATCAAGGTTGTCGAGTCTCTGGTTAGTTCTTAGTTTGAAAGTCAGGTCTTGAGTTGGATGTTGGAAACTAGGTCGAGAGTTGGGTCGACTCTCCGATTGGGGTCGAGTCTTGGGATCCGATTTGGAAGTAAACAGATTGGTCATGAGTCATAGTCGGGTCTCGGGTCGGGGTCGGGTCTTGGGTCAGGTGTTGGAGTCAGAAATCAGGAGTCAGGGTCGGGTCTCGGTTTGAGTGTCGGGATTAGATCCCAATTCAAAAGTTTTAATGTGTTGGCTTCTTGGTGGAATTTCGACTATCAGACAGAAGGTTGTTGATGAGAAAAAAGTTTTAGGCATTAGTCTTCCTGACATAGGACTAATAGACAAGTTTTCACGAGGCATTCAAAAAAATTAATATTGTCTGTATAGGTCAAAAATGACATACTATAGTTTTGAATTCCCTTAAAAAAATTCCTAAACCGAGAATTTTTATTTGAATAATAACAATAGTAGATTTGGGTACAACTTTAGATTGCAACATCTACAAATTAATTAATTACATGCATCTAATTCAAAAGACAAAGTATCTGTTGCAGTATCAAAAGTTAATCCTATACCTTGAAGTTGATAACTTCCTATAATCGCGATGTTTTGGTCCCATGGAATAAATGCCAGACAGAATAGCCCCCTCTCATGCACCACGACTCGTTTTTGGTCTAGTAATAACAAATTTTCCGGGTTTTGGTGATCGAAGTACATCTTAACAACGGGGAAAGTTGGTACCACACCTGGATCCACCATATAGCAAGTGTCAAAATCTCCATATGGAGCATCATACAAAGGAATATCTCCTGCTTCCTTTCTGAATGTATCGCGGAATTCATCATAAAAATCTGCAGGGAAATTGGTAACGATTGATCCTGTATCCACAATGCAACCACCGGTCATGCCATTTCCAATAATCAGCGAAAATGATGGGACTTCCTTATCGTTAATTAAAACTTTATAAAGGTTGACGAAATAAAATGTAGGTAATTTGTAATTTGGTATTAGTCGTGCTGATGTTTTTTTCTTATATGGCGTTGTGTGGAAGCTAAGTGTTGATGGTTTTGTGGAGTAAAACTCCGGTAGACATAAGGCCATTATATCTGCCTTCAATTGCGATGGTAAAGAATATGAACCTATATTTACTCTTCGTCCGAGGCCAGCAATACCAGAATATTCACCACTAAAAGCCGTTCCATTCATTTGATCTCTGCCACATCCAAAAAGAATCTTTACTGGATTTGAGTCTAAAACAAAAGTAATCACTTCGTCTGCAATCCAACCTCTTGTTCTTGATCCATCCGCGTATTTGTAATCATAGATACATGTATTATCATACGGAATACAGTCATAAACCTTGGACTTGTATACACAACTTGTACTTTGTGCAAGGCAATCAAGTTTTCGATATGTTTTAGACTTAGTAAAATCATATAAAGGTTCATGTTTTTGTTCATAACACTTATTTGGTCTACATGGTCCACATTGCCACCAAGTTAAATCACTTCCAGTGTCTATTAGCAAGAGCCTTTTAATTTGATCAGTCCCAAGAATAAAAGATGCAACATACTCACCATTTGCAAATTCTATACTTGTTGATGTGGGAACCTTTCCGCTTTCCCTTTTACTCTCATGTGCTGCGTGTGGCCTTGTCACGTTACCATTCTCAAGAATCAAAGCCAAATGGTTTGCTCTAGCTTGAGAACGAGTGAGCCTATGTTCAAGTAATGAGTCATAATCCTTGAACTTTGACTTTTCAAACAAATCACGATTGTAAATGGAAAAAGTATAGGATGGCCTTGGAGGATCGAGAAGTTTAGTTGTATCAAAAGACATAAATCTTTTTCTAGCTTCCATGATGTAACTTGAGTTGAGGGGTGAAAAAGTTTTTTCATAGCTTAAAACTACAACCAAAATTGAGAAAATAATTGAAATGAAAAGGTGAAACTTCTCCATTGGTATAGAAATTATTTTTCTAATTGCTTGATTTGGTTTGAAATATATATGTATATATATACTAGTTTTTTCAATTTTATGTCAACATAGTAGTCAAATAAAAAAAAGTAGTCAAATTATTATGTAAAATTAGTTCTCCAACTACAAAAAATGAATTATATTCCTTATTAAGACATAATGAATTATATTCCTTATTAAGACATAATGAATACCAATAGTAGATTTTCATAGGAGTCAAACGATCTCGACTTTGACTAATGTTTAAGATGTATATATATATATATTTTTATCATATTGATAGAGTTTTTGAATGTTTTTAAATTTTAGACATAATGAATTATATTCCTTATTAAGGCATAATGAATATCAATAGTAGATTTTCATAGGAGTCAAACGATCTCGACTTTGACTAATGTTTAAGATGTATATATATTATTTTTTATCACATTGATAGAGTTTTTGAATGTTTTTAAATTTTAAAGTATCTTTGAAATTTCTTGTAATTATGCCAAAACAGGAAAAATAACAATAACAAAGTTAGTTATAGAGATTTGATTCTCTTTTAGAAGCCAATATTTATTTATTTTCCTTTTTATCATTTCCAAAATCACTATGAGGATCAGAATTTGACACCTTTTGATTTTTATATTATCAAAGAAAGAAACATAATTAATTCTGCAATAAAAATAATTCCTAAACAAAGTATTGAATCTCATGAATTATCATGGAAATCTATGCTATTTTGGAACTTTACTCCCTCTATCCCTTTTTACTTGTCCACTTTTCCATTTTTAGTTGTCCCTAATTACTTGTTCATTTTGACAAATCAAGAAATGACAAAAAAGAATTTACTTAATTCTACTAGTAATTAGGGACAGGGGAGGCGCAACCTTCGGGTTGAAAGTGAGGGGTGCTTACCATCGGAGCAACTCCCTCTCGTCCAATGTATTAATCATTAATTGAGTAGGAAACAAATATTTATGTGATTTGAGATTGTTGCTTCTCATTCTCTATAATAGTTTTTGAAATATATTATATTCATATTATCTTATATGACATAATTTAATTTAAAAAGAGAAAATCCAAACCAAATTTGTTTTAATTAGTTCGGAGCAAATAACATTTTTTTCAATCGAAATTGAATAATACAAAGCTCAACCGAAAAACCAAATGTTGATCCCTAATTTTAGGAATGTAACCATAAGGACACATAATGAGATGATAACATATATAAGATTCGAACCAAAGAAAAACAACAATAAGTAATCACACGCGAATGTCAATGGAACCATATTTCTAGTAACATCTACAAGATTCCAATCAAAGAAAAACAACATCTATATATATGGCCATAGCTTTTATGATTTCACTAATAAATAAAAGATACAAACTTTAAATTGTAACATTTTGAAATTTATAAATCTCAACTACATGCATCTAAATCAAATGACAAAGTATTTTCTGATGTATCAAAAGTTAATCCTATACCTTGAAGTTGATTAGTTCCTATTATTGAATAAGATCTATTCCACCCCATGAAAGCCAAACAATAATATCCATCAAAGTGTATCATAACTCGTTCTTTTGCCAATAACAACATGTTCTTAGGGTTTACATCGCCAAAGTACAACTTCACAATGGGAAAGTACAACTCTCGTCCACTTGGATCCACTTTAACGCATGTGTCTAGAGACTTGTACGATAATGAATATGATCCGACATTTACTCTTCGCCCAAGACCAACCATTCCAGAATAGTAACCACTAAAATTGGCTCGACCCATTTGATCTTTGCCACATCCAAATGTAACCCTAATGGGTCGATGGTCTAAAACAAAAGTAATAACATCATCTCCCATAAAACCCTTTGATCTTTGTCCACTTACAAATCTAATATCGTACGTACACTCATTATTATAAGCATTACATTTATAAGTTTTGTCCACATCATCTAAACATCTTGAACCATATACGATACAATCAATTTTTCGATATGTTTTCGAATTTGTAGGGAAATATAAAGGATCAACTTGCTTGTAACACTTATTTGCCTCACATGGTCCACATTGCCACCAAACTAAATCACTACCAGTGTCTATTTGCAATAAAGTCTTAACTTTGCTACTGCCTAGCAAAAAAGACGCAACATACTCACCATGTGCATAATAAATACTTGTTGATTTTGGAACCTTTTCGCGGATTTTAACATTTGCACCTTCTTTGACATTGTTGTTGTCCTCAAGAATTGAAGCTATATAATTTGCTCTATCCTCACATCGAGCAATCCTATTTTTAAGTAACGAGTCATAGTTCTTGAACTTTGACTTTTCAAATACATCACGATGGTAAATGGTAAAAGCATAGGATGGTGCTTGACTTGCTTAATTTTCATTTTGGACTTTTCATTATTGAATGAGTTGTCTTAGCTAGTGGCCAGGTCATTTTAATTCATTAACTCTAGCTAATTGATTAGATGACCAAGTCAAGATAAAGAGTCCATACACCATTTATTATTGATATAATCCATCCGCCCTCGAATACTTGTCATGTTTTATTTTTCGAGTGTCAGTTTAACTAATTTAGAGTTGAAGTGTTTGAAAGCTACACATAAAGAAATATTAGATGCAATAATATATATCAAAGTTTATATAATTTGATTCTGTAAAAAAGATGACAAGTAATTTGAACAAGAGAGTAATTGTTATAACAACATTTATCCCAACACAATACATAAAAAGAAAACGAAAAAGAGAGCAAAATCCAAATGCATCAAGCACTACTAAGAAAATGATAAATAAATTATATATAATCATCTAATATCTGAAATCCACTCCATCGATTATTAAGGATTTGTGCAGCATAAGTCTCCTTTTAGAGGAAAATGCTCAATACGATCCTAAATAAGGATGTCTTCATTCTCAGAACTCGAATCAAAAAGTTATGACAAATTCCCTCTTTTATACTTTGCTATACTCAAAACTCCCATCCAATTCAACTTCCTCTTCTCCATGGCTCTTCTTGCAATGAGAGTATAACACAGTATATGCCACTAATAACAACAAATTAAACAAAGAAGAAATAATAACCAGAAATATAGACATAAGTATCTGGCTAATTACCCCTTTATTAGGTTTATTAATCTTCAAATAACATAGGTACAATAATGATGAAATTATAGAAAATAAAATATTTAACATAAATCCATTTAATCTATTCCCCTTAATGAGTCTTTCAGCTTTTGCTAGGGCTTTAAATCCATAACAATCTTCTTCAATTACTGAAATAACTAAAGCCAATATCCAAACAATTGATAAATATAGAAAAAATAGGAAAGAAATTATTCCAACAAAAATTCCTATAGAGAAAAGGAAAATATTGCTAGAGGAAATTAAAATAGGACTTAATAAAAATAAAACAGTAAAAAAGTAACCAATACCTAACATGTTTGTGTATAATCTAGTTATAAATGCATATTTAAATGCCTTTGAGATTTTCAAAACAAATTCTTTGAGAGAAATATTTATATTAGATGATAATATAATTGTTGCAATTGTGTATAGAAAAGAGATTAAAGATAGACTAACAAGAATTGCAACATATATAATTAGAAAAATTCTAAAATCCTCCTTAATATCAGCAAAAATTTTCATGATTTTAAAGGTATCATCAATTGAAGTAGACAAAATTGATGCCTTTAAAATAATATCATGGAACAAGAATTTAAGTTCAAAATTAAAGATTGATAAAAGGATGGAAGAAAATAGAATTTGAAGAAAATATGCTAATGCAAATAGTTTTCCATTTTTTGGAATTAATTGAAGGGATTCTTTGAGAATTGAGAGAAAACCAAAAATATGATAAAACTCCATTAAAATTTTTATGAGTCTATTCTTTTTGTTTGGATTCAACAATAGAATGATGAGCTTGCTATTTATATTGCTTCTTTGTTTGATTGGTAAGATATTAAAATGTGTAAGATATTTAATTAATTGGTATCATAAAACTCCATTCAAGTTTATTTAATTAGTAAAATATTAAAATGTGTACTGAGTCAATGCATTTTAATATTCTATGAGGGTAGAGCTAGAGGCGAACCCACATGTTTAATCTGATGGGGCGTAGGTGCATCCGTTAATTTTGAAAAAAAGTTATGTGTATATATATGTATACTATTTTAAAAAATATCTGTTAATTTTGAAAAAAAAAGTTATGTGTATATATATATGTATGCTATTTTAAAAAAATAGCAACAACTAAATATAATTAATTAGCTTAATATTGATGCGGTCAGAGTTTTCAAAAGAGTAAAAGGTTTTTGTAACATTTTTAATTGTGGAGAACAAGAAGTTAGGGTGTAATTTCTATTTTATAAGTTAGTCAAAATCATTCACCATCATTCTTTTCTATGGAACTTTGACTATTAACTATTTTATGAATTAATAACTCCATCTTTGTATATATATTATTATATGATAAAGGAGTTAAATTTTTAATTAGTAAAAATCAACTATAAAAAATATGTATGTGAAGAAATTAAAGGTATGCAATATAATATATATTACATAATTTATTTATTTTTACCTATGTATATATATAATGTATTTTTTTTCATAGGATTAATAATATATTATTATACTAGAGCGTGTTTTGATGAAATTTTTTAGTATTAGATATTAATACTAATAACTATATAAATATTAGTTGAAGCAATTAATATGAGAAATAAAAAGTTCAGATTATTGCAAGAAAGATTATTCCACTCATAAATAATAATATGTATGTAGTTTTATTTTGATTGTATGCAGATAGAGAAATTATTTTCTATCGATTCCAACCTTTGATGTTATAAAAAAATCGTATGGAATAGAAGAAGAAAATATCAACATATATTTAATCTTTTATAATAAATTCCTCGAGGAACTTGTCAAACAAGATTGATATATATAATTGCTGCTAGTTGTATGTTTATTTCCTAGAAATTACTATAATTGACTAATGACTATATTCTTTTGACCTTTTCGTAGTTGGCTTTGTCTTAATCACAATTTACTTAATTTTCTAGAGATTTAAGTCTACTAAACGTACAAATAGTAATAGAAACAATTTTTCAGATGCTGCAAATTTTGGCTTACAAAATGTATTATTTTTTTTAAAAAAATAAAAATATTTCTGACAAAATGCACTCTTCAAAATAAATAAATTTTAAAAATTTGATGAAACAAACAATAAGAACAAATTAACTTATAGAAATTATTCTCTTTAACGTATGATTCTGGACCTATGAAAATTATATCAACTCACTTGAAAATGGTTGGTATTGATTTTTTACCTCCGGCTGTTCTATTTTAAGCAAACTGATTATCTTATAAGAAAATGTTAGATTATAATTTAAAATTTTATAAGTTACTACAAATATTAAATGATAGTTTAATATTTTGTTATAAGATTAAAAAAATTATAAACAAATATTAAAATTGAATCAAATATTATCTGAAAAATAATCTATCAAACGATTCTTTAAAATAAAGATAAAATTTATATAGTAATTTTATATAGAGATATTTGCATAAATCAGCCTATAGTAGTTTTAAAAGGGACTACTTCAACCAAAGACCTCATAAATAAAATAAAAACAACATAATTCTACTTCCATTGACAACTTCAAAAAGCTTTATACTTACAAAATCTTCAAATGCTTATAAAATGTATGGATTTTGAATTAAAAGTACAAAAATCCAAACTCACTATCTAGATCTCCTTAAATAATAATTATCCAAAAATTTCAAGAACTTCAAAAAAATGGTTTTTTGCAAGTTTTTTGGTTTTGTGAGAATTTTAAAAGAATCCATTCAACTTATTCCAAAAAATGGAAAAATCATGGGATTAATTACCATTTTTCATCTTCTTTTCACCTCAACATTCTTTTTATTTTTCAAATTCACCTCTGATTCTTTGTTAAGAGATATGTTTATTAAAGAATCCTTCATTCCTATTTCTAGTATAAATGGTTCTTCACTAAGTAGTCTACTTTCTAGTATTAACCAAAATTTTAAACTTGTTTTAGCAATTGATTTTTCATTAATTTTTTCCTATTTATTCATCTCAATTTTCTCCACCAACACAATAATTTTAATTTCTTCTATATCATACTATAATAAAACTTTAAATTTCAAAGATTTAGGTATCATGATTTTCAAATCATTCAAAAGGCTTATTTTCACAATGTTTTACACCACAATTATTGTTATTGGATATTTTTTCTTTTGTTTTTCCATGGCAACTCCTTTTTTAGCTACCTCTAACTTATATGATTTTTCGATGGTTATTATTTTTGCGATATTCGCGTATATTATTTATCTCTATTTATCGATCGTTTGGGTGATGGCCTTAGTGGTTTCAATTATTGAAGAAGGTACTTATGGAGTTATGGCTCTTGGAAAAGCTAGAAAAATAATTAAGGGAAATGAGATGAAAGGGTTTATTTTAAATGTTGTGTTCAATTTATTGGCTTTAATTTTCTTTTGGGGTACTCAAATTATTATTAAAAAATGGAATGTTAACAAGAAAAATTCAATGTTGATTTTGGTTAATGGTTCTTGTTTATTGAAGGTATTTGAGTTAGTGAATTATACAGTTTTATATGTTCATTGCAAGAAAGAAAAAGGGGAAGAAGAGGTAATTGAATTACAAGAAATTATTGAATATAGCAAGATCTATAATTTACCATTAACTATTGATGGTACAAATTAATCGAGATCGATCGTTACGTTGCAATTGTTGGTTTTTAACGAGGAAGCTAAGTCATATAGTATGAACGAGTCATCAATTTGTGTCGATTATGACTATGTACTTTTCAATGAGAGTTGATTACGTCTCTATCATTTGTACAAAAAGTAAAACAAAAGTGAATCTAGCTCAAGATGATTATGTAATTTGTAATAGGTCAATGTTTGGACCTATTTTCCTCCTTTTGTTGTATGTCCTAGTGCCTACTTGTGGAAAACTACTCAAAGAAATAATACTAACAATATTTATGGCAAAAGAAAAAAGCTTCGAATTTCAGACCTTGTTGTTCATAGTATTTCATGATCAGTATTGAAAAAGTCAACAAATGATTTCAGAAATATAATTAAGTACTTTGGTTCATGTTTAAATAAATCAGACATGCTAGCTAGGTGAAATACTTAAATTAATAGCCCACATATCATCAATTATTTTCAGAATTCTTGAATCTTTCATACAATAAGAAATTGTCTATGGAGTTTTAGTATCTAGTTGGATTGAAGTTCATTTTTTTTAGAGATCTTAATAATGGGTGATGATGTCAAAGGTTTCGGTACGTATCATTATCCTACTTGTGAAATTATATTGATATGTTGTATAAAGTAACAATGCTCTCATATCATCTTCTCTTTAGATGAAGAAAACATGAAAGATCAACTGCAAATAAACTTTAGTCGCATCACTAAATGAGAGATCACCCCTGACGAAAACCACCGAATGAACCAACCCAACACTATGATCTCACATACTTTATTAGGGATCACCCCCGACGAAAACCACGACGATCTTGACGAACTTTGCTTTTTCTTCTCTTTCTCCTCTTCTTTCTCTCTTCACTCACAACCCTAACTCTCACTTTAAAAGGGAAAAACTGAATTAAAATCAGTCTAGACCCTTAATATAACCAAAAGAAATGGTTAGGGAAAATACCAAAATACCCTTATAAATTCGGACTAAACTGCCCTATGCCAACAGCCCAATTTTCAAAGGGAATAACTCACTCATACGAACTCGAAATCGAGCAAACTCGGCAGCGTTGGAAAGATCATTCCAAGGGCTTTCCAAACATACTGGAAATACACCTAACTCATCCTGAGCTAGAAGTTATGACCGTGTGAAGTTGACCAAAAACTCATTTTTTTTTTCCATACTTAACTAAATTTCCAGATTTTGAATTCTTTCCAAAAATGACTATTTCCAATTACAAGCTTCTTCATAGCTATTTCAAATTGCACGATGTTACATAGCAGATCAAATTTTAGGAGAAAAAACATTTTTTGCGAAGAACTATTCATGTCATACCAAATAGGGAAAAAGGGCAAAATATGCAAAGATATGACATGTGAATCTAACTCAATCTCAAAAGTTAGCTCATGAGGAGAGAATCACACAAATCCATATAAGCAGACCACCAGTTCATTCTCCAACCAATGTGGGACTTTTAAGGGTGTGTTTGGGATGAAGTAAAAAATTTCTCATGTTTGGTTGGCATAAATGTTTTCCACATCAACTTATTTTTCTCAAAAATGACTTACTTTTAAAAGTAAGGAAAATATAACCCAAAACTTATTTTGAACCTCACACTTCAAGTTTACATCCTAACTCATGTCTCACTATCGATTCCTGACATTATTAATCCTAGATCTGACTTTTCATTCTCCATTGGAAACCTGATTTGCAACCTCGATTTGAGACCCAACTCCAGAGTTCTGGATTGAGTCGGAGTCCGATCTCGGGTTAGGGTTGGAGATCGAATTTCGAGGGTTTTGAATCAAGTGTCGGAGTCAAGTTTTAGATTGAGAGTCGAGGTCGATTTCATGTCAGGTTTCAGGTTTGGGTCCCGAATCGATTGTCAAGGTAGGATGTCAGCATCAAATGTCGAAGTCAGATCCCATTTAGAAATTTTGGTCCTAGGTCAGGTGTCGGGGTCGTCTTGACTTGAAATAGCGTCTTAATTTTGGTGTTGGGTCTCAATTTGGGTGTTGGTATTGGATCAGGGCTTGGAAGTCGAAAGTCAAGTGTTGATGTCAGGGTTGGATCAAGGTTCAACATTCAGGTTTTTAGTCAGGTGTTTGGTCTTAGTTCA